GGAATTGGTGGAGTAAGATACTAGTAATATAATTTAGTAAATGCTAGGTTCAAATCCTATTAATTAAAGCTATTACTATAAATTCCTTGCAGAAATTGATGAGTGCGCATCAGATATAATCCTTTGCTCTCATAACTGTAGAAATACTTTGTCGGGCCACTACGAATGCTACTGTCCAAATGGATACTATGGAGATGGTTGGAAGTGTAAGGATTAAAGTGTTCAACTAACTTGCAATCAACCCACAATAGCAATGAACAAACAAGCATAACAATCAAGAACAACTTTGAAGGAATTAAAGCAAGTAAAAGGAAGACAATGTTACCGTGGGAAAACCCGAGAACCGGGAGAAAAAACCCACCCTTGCACTATGGAGTAATATTGATGATGAATGAACTCAAGAATTACAAGCATGAATTGTATAGAATTCAAATGCTCCTCACAAACCCTCTCAAAACCTCTCTATGTGTTTAAATGTTTGTGAATAATCAACAAAGAGGCTTAGAAAAGGTATATATAGTCTAGGTAGAAAATACAATCCAACGGCTAAGATTAAAGCAAATCGCACAAGCCGAAAACAAAGCGACGAAATAGGGAGCAGGGAGGTTCGGCCGAACCTACCCAGAGTTCGGTCGAACCTGGGGTGGTTCGGTCGAACCTCCTTGGGTTTGGTCACTCCTCCTCTAGAAATGAAAACTGGTGCACCTACTGACTTAAAACCGGGTTCGACCGAACTTTTCACAAGTTTGGTCGAACCTTAACAATAAGGCAGCTTCTATGCAATCTCCTTATGTCTCCATGTATTTATCTATCTCCACACTAATCCTAACAATCTCCCACTTGGAGATAGGATCAAACATGCACCATAGACTACCACATACACACTCCTTCCTCAAGAACACTTAATACATTCATCAAAACAATTTCACCATAGCACAACACTCCTTCAAATTAATGATGGAGTCCAATTGAGGTCCTACACAACCTCAATTTGTCACTAGAAACAGCTTTAGTGAGCATATCCGCCGGATTCTTTGAACCGGCAATCTTCCTCAAACACATCGTGCCATCCTTCACCAAACTCCTAGTATAGTGATAACGCCTCTTGATGTGTTTAGTGCGATAATGAAACATAGGATTCTTAGCCAATTGAACCGCACTTTGGCTATCACTATACAACGCACAAACATCTTGTTTCATGCCCATTTCTTCAAGGAAACCCTTCAACCATTCCATCTCCTTTCCCGCTTCCGACATAGCCACATACTCGGCTTCCGTCGTAGACATAGAGACACACTTTTGGAGCTTGCTCATCCAACTAATGGCCGTACCACCAATAGTATACACATACCCCGAAGTGCTTTTGCTTGAATCATAACATCCTCCAAAATCGGCATCAACAAAACCTTCCAAAACAACTCCATTTCTCCTAAAGCAAAGAGCCATACTTGAAGTACCCAACAAATACCTCAATAGCCACTTCACGGCTTCCCAATGTCTCTCACCCGGATTTGACATGAACCTACTCACAACTCCCACTGCGTGAGCAATGTCGGGCCTCGTGCAAATCATAGCATACATCATGCTACCAACGGCCGAAGCATAAGGAACAATGGCCATTTTGTCCTTCTCTTCCCTTGTCTTTGGGAAATCCTCCTTAGTCAACTTGAGCTCACTTGAAAGAGGTGAGCTTCGAGGCTTTTCATCAATCATGTTAAATCTTTTAAGCACCTTCTTGACATACTCCTCTTGAGATAACTTCAACACACCCGTTGAGCTATCCCTAGAAATTCTCAAGCCAAGTATTTGCTTGGCCTCACCCAAGTCTTTCATCTCAAATCTTCTTGACAACTTCTTTTTCAAGTCATTGACAATTTCCATACTAGTTCCCGCAATCAGCATATCATCAACATACAAAAGCAAGTAGATATAGCCATTGTCATACCTTTGAAAGTAGAAACAATGGTCACCTTCCGCTCTCACGAAACCATTGCCTAGCATGAAATTGTCAAACTTCTTGTACCATTGTCTAGGAGCTTGTTTCAACCCATATAGACTCCGTTTAAGCTTGCACACCAAGTTCTCTTGACCCGGAACTTGAAACCCTTCCGGTTGCTTCATGTAGATTTCCTCCTCCAAATCACCGTGTAAAAACGCGGTTTTTACATCCATTTGCTCAAGAAATAAGTCCTCCGAAACCACTATAGCCAACAAGATCCTTATAGTGGTTAGCTTCACAACCGGAGCAAAGATCTCATGATAATCAATGCCCTCCTTTTGTGAAAAACCTTTCACCACAAGTCTTGCCTTGTACCGAATTGTACCATCCGGTTCTTCTTTCTTTCGAAAGATCCACTTGCACAAAAGTGCTCTCTTGCCCTTAGGCAACTCAACCAGCACCCAAGTGTTGTTTTTATCCAATGAAGACATCTCATCTTCCATTGCTTGCTCCCACTTCAACGAGTCACCCATGCCCATTGCCTCTTTATAACATTCCGGCTCACCGGAATCCGTCAACAACAAATAATGCAAGGATGGAGAATATCGGTGTGGTGGCTTGATTGTTCTTGATGATCTCCTCACCGTTGGTGGTGTAGATGGCTCTCCATGAACCACAACGGGCTCACCCATAACTACTCGCTCATCCGTTTCCAAGTGATCATCATCATCCGAATCACTTGAATCCGAATCCACCGGAACATGAGCACCATGTTGAGGAGATGCTTGTTGAATTTGCACCTCAACTTCTACCTGTTCAACTTCCTTATCACTTCTAACCTTACCATCTAGCTCAACAAATTCCCGCTCATCTTCAATTGATTCTTTCTCAACGGATTTCCCACCAAAGTTGTCTTTGTACAAAGAGCTCTCATCAAAAGTGATGTCACAGTGCCTAACAATCTTTCGATTCTTAGGATCCCACAATCTATAACCATATTTCTCACATCCATACTCGATGAAGTAACATTTGATGGCTTTTGGGTCTAGCTTGTCTCTCTTTTCGGATTGCAAATAGGCAACACAACCAAAGGTCTTCAAGTGAGTGTAGGACACCTCCTTACCACTCCACTCCTCCTCCGGTATCTTGAATTCCAAAGGTACCGAAGGTCCACGGTTTATCAAGTAAGCCGCGGTACTAACGGCATCCGCCCAAAAACACTTTGGGAGGCCCGCAAAAAACCTCATACACCTTGCCCTCTCCAGTAAAGTCCTATTCATCCGCTCCGCTACCCCGTTTTGGCGAGGTTTACCGGGAATGGTCCTCTCCAAAACAATGCCATGCTCCTTACAAATGTTTTTGTAAGCTTCCAACTCATACTCTCCTCCATTGTCGGACTTGATTGCCTTAATCTTCTTGCCCGAAACATTTTCAACCTCCGCCTTCCAAGTCTTGAACTTCTCATTCACTTCCGACTTGTGCTTCATGAAATATACCCATACTTTCCGGGTTGAATCATCAATGAAAGTGACAAAATAGTGAGAACCACCAAGGGACTTGATGGGGTATGGGCCCCAAACATCCGTGTGCACAAGTTCTAGCTTCTCCTTCTTCAAGGACCGTTTGGTTTTTGTGAAAGACACCTTCTTTTGTTTCCCAAAAACACATGTCTCACAAAATTTCATGTCGATTGATTTCAACCCCGACAACTTACCCTTTGAAGCTAGCAATTTCATCCCTTTCTCACTCATGTGACCAAGCCGAGTATGCCAAAGCTTATTCTCATCATTTGCGGTTGTAGCAATCATGCTTTTACACCCTAAGGTAGTGTACAATGTGCCGGTCTTCGTGCCCCGAGCCACCACCATAGCTCCCTTTGACACCTTCCAAGTACCTTCACCAAACATGGTTCTAAAACCGCTTGAGTCTAGTTGACCCACCGAAATCAAATTTTTCCTTAGCTTAGGTATGTACCTAACATCTTCAAGCTTCCATGAGCTCCCACTTGAAGTCTTGATCATAACATCTCCCTTCCCCACAATATCCAAAGGTTCATCATCCGCAAGGTACACCTTTCCAAACTTGCCACTCTTGAAGTTTTGGAAAATCTCCTTACATGGAGAAGAATGAAATGAAGCTCCCGAATCAAGGATCCAAGACTCAATGGGACTATCAACACTCAAGATCAATGCATCACCGATTTCATCGCTTGATGCCAAGCTAACCGATGAACTAGCATCATCGTGGTTCTTGTGGTTTGAACCACCCTTCTTCTTGGGATTAGGACATTCCCTCTTAGTATGCCCTTTCACACCACAACCCCAACACACAATGTTCACCTTCCCTTTCGACTTACTCCTCCCTCTAGACTTCGATCTTCCTCTTTGAGCACCTCTTTGTTGTCTTCCACGTCCCCTACCTTCACTAGAATAAGCACCACCCGATGACTCACCCAAGTTCTTCCTTCTCAAGCTCTCACTCAAGATTAAGTCCCTCACATCATCACACTTCAACTTCGACTTTCCGGAAGAGTTGCTAATGGCGGCTACAACGGTATCCCAACTTCTAGGCAACGATGACAACAAGATCAAGGCCCTCACTTCATCATCAAACTTAATCTCAACCGAAGCTAGTTGAGAGATTATTGAATTGAATTCATTTATATGTTTGGGGGCGGAACCACTATCATTCATCTCAATTTCAAACAAACGACGCATCAAGAACACCTTGTTCATAGCCGATGGCTTCTCATACATATTGGACAATGCTTTGATCACACCAACCGTCGTTGTCACACCTTTGACATTGTAAGCAACACTCTTAGCCAATGTCAATCTAATCACTCCAAGGGCTTGTCTATCCAATACTTTCCACTCCTCTTCCTTCATACCCGATGGTTTACTAGTAAGGGGAAAATATAGGTTCTTTTGATACAAATAGTCCTCTATTTGCATCTTCCAAAACCCAAAATCCTTCCCATCAAACTTCTCAATTCTCAACTTGCCTTCTTCCATTGCAAATCAAACACACAAAGTTCACAATAGGTTTTCAACAACAAAGAATGCAACTTGACACCCAAGACTCAAACTTTGAACACCTAAAGTTCCAAACTTTGAAACTCAATCACAATTTCAAGTTTAACACAAACCCTAAATCATCAAAACACCAAAGATTCAACCTTGGCTCTGGTACCAATTGTAAGGATTAAAGTGTTCAACTAACTTGCAATCAACCCACAATAGCAATGAACAAACAAGCATAACAATCAAGAACAACTTTGAAGGAATTAAAGCAAGTAAAAGGAAGACAATGTTACCGTGGGAAAACCCGAGAACCGGGAGAAAAAACCCACCCTTGCACTATGGAGTAATATTGATGATGAATGAACTCAAGAATTACAAGCATGAATTGTATAGAATTCAAATGCTCCTCACAAACCCTCTCAAAACCTCTCTATGTGTTTAAATGTTTGTGAATAATCAACAAAGAGGCTTAGAAAAGGTATATATAGTCTAGGTAGAAAATACAATCCAACGGCTAAGATTAAAGCAAATCGCACAAGCCGAAAACGAAGCGACGAAATAGGGAGCAGGGAGGTTCGGCCGAACCTACCCAGAGTTCGGTCGAACCTGGGGTGGTTCGGTCGAACCTCCTTGGGTTTGGTCACTCCTCCTCTAGAAATGAAAACTGGTGCACCTACTGACTTAAAACCGGGTTCGACCGAACTTTTCACAAGTTTGGTCGAACTTTAACAATAAGGCAGCTTCTATGCAATCTCCTTATGTCTCCATGTATTTATCTATCTCCACACTAATCCTAACAGGAAGAATGGAACTTCTTGTGTTAATTCCTTACTAAGAGTAGCTGAATATACGTTTGCAGTCTTGGGATCGCTATTTTTGCCTCCAATTGGGTGGTGGTTATATCTTGTAAAGGAATGTTAGGTGAAGGAAGACTTTACCAAAAACAAAAATGAGAGGGGTATTTTGGTAAAGTGAAATTTATAACCCAAAACCCCTTTCACTTTATATATAGAAATATAGAATTATAGTGAATTTTTATGCATGATAAATCATAGTTGGTAAATATTTATCATCAAAATCAAAATGTAACAAATAAAAAGAAATTGATGTAGTAATTGATTATTGGTTCGTTTCCTAACTAAATAAAGCTCTTGCTTGGTATAAATTCCTCTATGCAGACATTGATGAGTGTGCAGATATTACAAGTACCAGATGCTCTGAAACTTGTATAAACACTCCAGGTGGCTACAATTGCTCTTGTCCAAAAGGATATCATGGAGATGGTTGGCTGAATGGAACTTCTTGTGTTAGAGATTCCGTATCGGATCATCCGAATGTAGCTGTATATGTGAGTGCAACTTTGGGATCGCTACTCTTGCCTCCAATTGGTTGGTGGTTATTCATAGTGATCAGAAAAAGAAAGGCTATCAAGCAAAAAGCTAGAAACTTTCAAAAAAATGGTGGTTTATTGTTGCAACATCGTATGTCATCTGATGAACATATAGTAGAAAGAACACATTTCTTCACCATTGACGAGTTGGAGAAAGCCACTGACCACTTTAATGAGAGTAGGATACTTGGACGAGGAGGCCAAGGTATTGTTTATAAAGGAATGTTAGGTGAAGGGAGACTTATTGCCGTAAAAAAGTCTAAGACATTGAATGAAAGCCAACAAGCAGATTTTATTAATGAAGTGGTTATCATGTCTCAAATAATTCATAGGAATATAGTCAGGTTACTCGGGTGTTGTTTGGAATCGAAAGTCCCGTTACTAGTGTATGAGTTTGTCCCAAATGGAACACTTTTTAATCATCTACATCATCTTAATGAAGAGTTTCCAATCACATGGAGAATGCGCCTACAAATTGCTTCCGATTTAGCTGGAGCGCTTGCTTATCTACATTCCTTTTCTTATGTTCCTATACTACATAGGGATATCAAATCTTCCAACATTCTCTTGGATGATAAGTATAGGGCAAAGCTATCGGATTTTGGGTTATCAAAAAGTGTGGCTCCTGATCAAACCCATGTAACTACTCGTGTTATGGGAACATTTGGTTATTTGGATCCTGAATATTCCCAGACTCACCGATATACCGAGAAGAGTGATGTTTACAGTTTTGGTGTGGTCCTTGTTGAGCTTATAACTGGACAAAAGGCAATACGTGCTATAAGTGATCAAGATAGAAGTTTGGTGTCATGGTTTCTTTCTCATATGGAAAACTCTCAATTCCTTGACATGGTGGACCCTCAATCGGTAAAGGAAAGTTTGAAGGAAGAGATTTACACTATTGCTGATCTTGCAACACGATGCTTGAATCCGAAAGGTACGAGAAGACCCACTATGAAAGAAGTTCTATTAGTACTAGGGACAGAAGAGTCGCCCCAAACTAATGTAGTAGAAAAAAACTCACAATTCGAGCAAGTGTTAGATGCTGGAACAACTAACAACTCATACCATGAAAATGTTGCAACTTCCTCCACATTTAGTATGGATACACGTTATTGTCAATCAGCTGAACTGTCTTTATTATTCAATCCCAGATGATGTAGATATTTTTAGTAGTTTAGTTTGGTTATAAACCCTTGCTATAAGTTACTCTACATAACTTTATGTATCATTAGTTTATAGTACCTTATTTGTCACATATCAAATATGTTGAGATGTTATGCTCAGGCCTTGTATTGTTAAGAACTACCTTCTTTTTCCAAATATCTTACTTTACACCTTTTTTTTTTTTTAAGGTTTCCAACGCATGTATTGACTGTCAATATGTTTGATATTGTATGATTTAAAAATAATATGTCATATAACATTAGTTGATGTGATGAAAATGCACAGCTTGATAATTCTAAAAGGAACGGAACACACATGATAAAGTTTAGATAGATATTTATAATAATAGTGAATCTTTACCATCACACACTACTTGAGTGTAAAGAACTTAAAAAAACAAAGGTAGTATTTGAACTGACTATATATGGTTAGAGAAGTTAATTTAACGAAGAGCAACTAATTACAATGGTGAATCTAGCTATGAAATGTATTTACCTCGTAGCTGAAGATAGACCAACCATGAAGGAAGTGGCCCTTGAGCTCGATAGTAGGATTAGGAATCAAAATAGGCATCCTTGGCCGATCAGAACGATCAAAATGAAACAAGCAATTTAACAAATCAAAATGATGTTTACCCGATTCCCACAAATGCAAATTATAACGCTACTAATCCAAGCACGCGGCGAAAACTTCACATCTGGACAATATACAACGCAAATAGATATGATTAACGAAATAAATCTCCCTTGTTAATGCTAAGATAAACCAAATAATATTGAATCACCCTCGCATATAGATGTTTTTGTTGCTCTTTGTTGTTTCCTATATATAAAATCATAAAGTTTAAATATCCAAAATTATATAATAGCAAAAAACATTATACAACCTCATCAAGAGTAAAGAGACAAGTCCTTTGTTCCACCAAAATTAATAGTCCGGCCCCATTAAACTTTATATCACAATAATCAATCTATAAACACTCTTTTTACAAAGTATATATTTTGCTTTTAGCTTTATATTGTTGTTTTTAATCATCTTTACAGGGCTATTATAGTAGCCTTGTAAAAGACTAAATTCGAACAATATATGAATGAAAATCAACAAACATAATGGATTAAACAAAAATAAAGTAAAAAATTTAACATATTATGAGTCTATATAAGGTATTATGAGTCTCTAAGCCCCTAACTACTTTCATTTAACTATTTATCAAGTACTAATATACTACTTTGTTGATAGTGATTATTAATGAGTTCATACAATATATTAATTGAATACATATCTTCATTTTTTTTTCTCTTAATTAAGTGTACTTAAATTCTATCTACTCCATTTCTTTATTTATGTTTTCATTTAATAGATTACCATTTATTAATTATGTCATGTGTGACTAAGTTTAAAACTTTATTTATATACACAAAGTACATTTATAACAATAAGATTGATTATAAAAAGTTGTGTTTATTTTTTGGAAAATTTGCAAATTGCAGCCATTTAAAGTTCGTATTTTGCAAATTGCAGTCATTTAAATTTTTTTTTTGCAAATTGCAGCCCAAAAGTTCGTATAAATTATAAATTGCAGCCCGATTCAATTTTTTCATCGATTTACATGTTGAAAAAACCTCGCTTAAGGTTTGGTTTGTGCGGTTTGGAAAAATACGGTTTGGTTTCGATTTTTTGGGAAATACGGTTTGCGTTTTTGTAAAAATTAGAAATATATTTTGTAAACCCTAAAAATATATTTCTAATTTTTAATTGTTTTACAAAATATATTTCTAATTTTTACAAAATATATTAACATTTACAAAATATATTTCTAATTTTTACAAAATATATTAAAAATTTGTAAAGTAAACAATATGGAAATATATATGAGTACTTTTAGTACTATTTGACTTTTCACAGTTTTCAATATTCGTCTTAAAAATAATATCTTCATTTTTTCATAAAAGATTATAAAAAAATTGATTTCAATAAATTTACAATAGGATGAATCCAACAAGCTAGTTAGATCCCACATAATTATATTATCTCTTTTTACAACTATTGATTTATTGCTCAATAATTATAAAGTAGGACTTTTTTTTACCCATTATGGATGCTCTAGATTACTGAGAAATAATAGTCAAAATTGGTAAAATTTGACTCAAATATTGGCAAAGAGGCAAAAACAAATTGGGACGGAAAAAGTATAAAACAACATTTTTATTAATTATATATAAGTAAAAAGATAAGTCATTTATAATGTGTAAATAATGTAACAATATTTGTCACATAAAAAATAATGAATAGTGAGGAAATCATCAAATCTCCTTTTCAAAAAGCTTGGCTGACTCAAGTGAATGTATCTCAATTATTGCACACTGTACTATAAAGTTTGTTGGCTGGTTTACAAATACTAGTTTCATGCCTCTTTGTGTATGGTTTCTCAATTCACATTATTCTAAAAAAAAAACATAACTCAAGACACATTCTCATAAGCCATAAATAAAAACCAAAAAACTTTATAAAAAAAATGTTCGAGGTAAGAAGCTTTAGCTTGTGTCTCCTTTTGCCACTGGTATGGTTGGGTTTAGCCAGTGTTAGTTTGGCCACCAATAACATTTCCAAGCCCGGTTGCCGACGTAGCTGCGGAAACGTAACTATTCCGTACCCGTTTGGTATCGGTTACGGTAAAGACGGGGCATTATGTTCCTTGAATGAATACTACAACATAGTTTGCAACAAGACATTTAGTCCTCCAAAACCCTTTCTGAATTACAGTAACTATATTGAGGTCCTTGAGATAACCACTGAGGGACGCTTGCTAAGAGCGTTGTGGCAGCTACGATCTACAAACAAGGAAAACTTGTCAAGTCAACTCCAGTGTATGCAGCAGACACAGATCTAACTGACTATCCACTGGTTATATCCGACACCAAAAACAAGCTTTTCGCGATTGGTTGTGATGATTATGCCGTACTTGGCACTGTTTGGGCCTCTAAGGGATCTAGTTTCAGAAGCGGGTGCATTGTAGGGTGTAGCAATGTATCAGCGGTTATAAACGGGTCGCTTTCATAGGGGATCCGAGAAAATTCAAGTTCAAAAGCGCTGACCTTAGTGACCCTGATTTCGTCACCAAACCACAGACAGTGTTCCGGTGGTGCTTGAATGGACTCTTTGGGATGATACGAGTAATTCGGCAGCGACTTGTGAGATAGCTAAGAAAAACTTGTCCACATATGCTTGTCTCAATAAAACCAACTGCCACGATTACAATGGTCCCGGTCGGGGATACACATGCAGTTGTCTTCCTGGTTATCAGGGTAATCCGTATCTCGGATGTACAGGTCAGTTACTACTAACTACATACTGTACTTCCTCTGTTTTTTCAGTTGCGCCAAATTCATCACTTTGAGCACTTCATGAAATGGGAAATTTTAATTGAATCATCAAGCGAACATGATGATTACTAAATAATTAGTTTTGTTAAAAAAATATTTTTTTATCATTGTAATACCCCTTATGATTACTTTAAAGGAGCATATTCCTACTTTTCTAGATACTTTTCAGTTAAGCGTGCTTGGCTGGGAATAGTAGTCTTAAAATATGAGTAAAATGTGTTGGAAGGATTTGTGTTGGTTTATAAGGACAATTGATAGCCCTTAATGTGCATTTTGTTTCGTGACAATATCCTCCACCCTAATTTGTTTGGGGTCGGGGTGTTACAATCATTCCATAATCAGAATATTAAAATATGACACATGTTAAAATTATTACGGAGTATTTTGTGAAAAAAGAAAGCAAATAATAGGTAGTCGCATTTAAATATTCTATTAATATGCAATTTTAATGTTTTATGAAGCCAAAAAAATAAGGAAAGTTTAAACTAGTTATCAATTCAATCAAATAAGAAGATTGTGATCAATAGATAAACAATGTTTTTATTATGTTAGTAAAATACATTAATATTACTTTCTTCATTTATAATTATTGCACTAATTGCCTTAGCTTTTAAGGAAATTCACACAAGTTAATTACACCATATCCATTTTTAAAAGTTCCTAAAAAAATATCCATTTTTTAAAATAAAATATTTATGTTCACATTACAGATATCCAATATGTTCTACCTCTATATTGCAATAATGTTAAATTAGGTTTAAAGTATTCTCTGTATTTCTCATTTATATAAACAGCCACATACAAAAGTATATATAGAGTAGGATACTTGGAGGGCAAGTCCAAGATAACCTAAAGATAATCACAAAATATATTCACAATATTTATCTTTCCTAATACCCCCCTCAAGTTGGAGAGTACGGATCTCGGACACCCAACTTGCGAAGTAGAAACTGAAATTTAGCTTTTCCCAAAGCTTTTGTAAAAATGTCAGCCAACTGAACCGTCGTAGGAACGTACGAAGGTATAATCGTCCCATCTGTAATTGCATCTCGAACAAAATGACAATCCGACTCAATGTGTTTTGTTCGCTCATGAAACACTGGATTCTGCGCAATATATAACGCAAACTGACTATCACAATAAAGGTGCATCCCATTCTCATGTCGAACACCTAAATCTCCAAGTAGTCGCTTCAACCACTTTAATTCACAAGTCGTTGCATTCATACAACGATATTCTGCTTCTGACGAAGAAAGAGCCACCGTAGGCTGCTTCTTGGTTTTCTATGACACTGGAGACAAGCCAAGAAGCACAAACCAACCACTTAAGGATCGTCTGGAGAGAGGACAACCTGCCCAATCTGAATCACACCAACCTTCTAACTGTAATGCACTATCAGATCTCAATAAAATACCCTGTCCCGAACTCTTCTTTAAATATCTAACAACTCGCAAAGCTGCTTCCCAATGATCAATCCTGGGTTTCTGCATAAACTGTGACAAAATGTGTACAGAATATGCTAAATCGGGTCTCGTAACAGACAGATAAATTAGTCGCCCTATGAGGTGACGATATTTCTCAATGTCATGAAAATACTCTCCCTGGGAT